GGTTTGTATAAAAGGTGAAGTGGTAGACTATTTAAATTCGGCGTCAGGATTGTATAAAAGGTGAAGTAGTAGACTATTTAAATTTGGTGTCAGGATTGTACCCAGTGTTGATGGACAAGTCACAGCTACTGACTGAGAGGGGACGCTGACTACTGAGGCCTGCTAGAACCTGCTAGAAGGTTCTGTGACATGCACCCCAGGTCGCTTTCTCAGTGGGTAGAAACGTCACTGCACACACCATTTGGCCCTGTAGACATGGCTGGGGTGGTAGTCGGGGCAGTATTTCTGTCTAAAGAGAGTTCTCCATTCTTTATTTTAGCCAAAATAAATGTCAGCAATAAACATTTTACTTTAAATTTAGATAATCAATATTTACCAACCATTGTTTTCTCCATCTGTAAAAGAGATAACCAGATCAGGTACAATTTCTTTTTCAATGAAGGCCATCCACAGATCTCTTATAACAGGGCAGTTGTCCACAATCCATCCTCCATATTTCTGGGCACCAGGAAACCTGTTCGTGTTATCTTCTGTTACCTGTGAGAACAGCACCATTGTGAGTGGCAAGTCACAGACTATGATGTGTTTTTCTTGTAGGAGTCCAACAAGCATCTTCTAGGTCCTGACTCTGAGAAGAAAGCAAGACTGACTTAATTTTAGGAGAATCTTAATTTTGAAGTAATCAAGTCTTACTAGTTTAAAAACAGGAAACATAGCCTTTATTAAACAAAACGGTGCTCTCTTGCTGTCTGTTAATCTGTGGCACTAAATGTGTCTAGTTAGTATTTATGTCACTTTTTATTATAACAGTGATGAACTTCCTTATGCCTTAGATTATTTTAATAACATTGTGAATAATAACATCCTTACATAGAAGTAGTTATCCAAGGATTATATATTTGTTTGAGTTATATTTTTGGTGTTTTCCAAAACATTTGCTCCAGTTTGCACCCTTTGTGGCTGTTGAGGTCGGGTTTCATCACTGCAACAAAACACCATGACCAAGAAGCAAGTTGGGGAGGAAAGGCTTTATTTGGCTTACATTTCCACATTGTGAGTCTGTCACTGAAAGACAACAGGACAGGAGCCTGGAAGCAGGAGCTGATGCAGGAGCCATGGATGAGTGCTGCTTACTGGCTTGTTCTCCATGGCTTGGTCAGCCTGCTTTCTTATAGAACCCAGGACCACCAGCCCAGGGATGACACTATATCCAATGGGCAGGATCCTTAATCAGTAATTAAGAAAATGCCCTACAGCTGGCTCTTATGGAAGCAGATTCTCATTTGAGAATCATTTTAGAGAACCCTGGTTCGTGTGTCAGGTTGACACAAGCCTATCCAGCACATGTTGGCACAACCAGAAGGTGACCCCATCACCATGACTTCATGAATAGTGATTGCCTACATAAAAGCTCGGCCAAT